ACTGAGAGTGTGAACCTGGTTGGTGATGAACAGGTAAGCCAAATGCCAGATCGACTGGCAATCTAGGCGGTCGCCCAAACATTAGCTCGTAAGGGCTAAACCCAGTCACGTCATTTTTAGTACAGTTATAGGCGTGTGTAAAGGTCTGACATGTTCTCGCCAATGGCACTTCTTTTGATTCTCAAGAGTTCCCAGCATGTTAAGTAGGGTTCTGTTGAAACGTTCAACGGGGTTGCCCCTTGGATGATATGGAGTAGTCCTGATTTTCTGGGTACCAATGAGCTCACACAGTTCTTTTATTGTTCGAGACTCAAAGTCCCGACCTTGATCATTGTGAAGTCTTTCAGGGAAGCCAGAGTGCACAAAGAAGTGTTCCCATAAGCACTTAGCTACAGTTTGCGCTTTCTGATTCGTGGTTGGGATGGCCACTGCGTACTTAGTAAAATGGTCTGTGATGACCAGAATATCTTTGGTGTTACTCAAGTCTGGTTCTACAGAGAGGAAATCCATACACACAAGTTTGAGTGGCCTTGTAGCAGTGATGTTCACGAGTGGTGCTGCTCTTTCAGGTAAAGACTTCCGTCGTACACAACGGTTACAAGTTTTAATTTTTTGCTCCACATCGGCTGACATTTTAGGCCAATAGAAACGCACTCTGACCAGGTACAGAGTACGTTCAATGCCCATGTGGCCAAGGTCGTCATGAAGGCTCTTTAGTACAGAGGGCCTCAGCTCCTCCGGCAGTACAAGTTGATAAGACGTGTGTGCACCTTCTTGTCTTCTGCGGTATAATATACCATTTATTAGTTCGAGTCGGTTCCATTCCCTCAACATCAGGCAGATTTCAGGAAGTTATTTTCTGATAGAGGGTGGGGGTTTTTCTCCAGACTCTATTTGGTGGATTACTTCCCTGATGCAGGTATCTGCTTTCTGCTTTTCAACCAGCTCAGCAACGGTGAGATGAGGAATGACAGGTAAGCCACCACACTGTTCCTCTGCTTCATAGCTTGCTGGTATGGCGTTTGGATTTTGTGCTGGAGATAGGACTAAGGTGGTACCAGACCATTCCTCTGCATGTTCACCATTGATGGTGTTATGGACAAGGTGCTTATCACAAATGGCCTTGACTGTGCTCTCAGCAATCAAGCATGACTCTTCATTTTCAGACAAGTGCCTTTGAGCAAATTGCCGTATCCTCTCCATCTCTTTTTCTGAGATATGATCATCTGCCAATCCACTGTGTGGCCTTCTAGACAACCCATCTGTGTCCTGATTCTGCTTTCCTGCTCTGTATTGCAGTTGGAAGTCAAACGTTGACAGAGCGGCTAGCCATCTGTAGCTTGTGGCGTCAAGCTTGGCAGAAGTGAGGACGTAGGTCAATGGATTGCTGTCAGTAACAGCTAGGAATGGGCTTCCATACCAATAGACTTGGAGTTTTTCTGTGACTGCCCATTTAAGGGCAAGGAACTCCAATTTGTGTGCTGGGTATCTGGCTTCACAAGGTGATAAGCCACGACTCGCATATGCAATGACACGTTTCTGTCCTTGCTGTTCCTGGTACAGGACAGCAACTAGTCCTATCGTGCTTGCATCTGTGTGTAGGACGTAGGGTGACTTGGGATCAGCAAAACCAAGGATTGGAGCTGTTGTTAACTTGTGAATAATAGTTTCAAATGCAGCTTGGCATTCTGTTGTCCATCTATCACCAAATACCTCTTTAGGATTGTGATATTTCTCTGTTTTCACAATGGGCTTCTGATTTTTCTGTGTAGGTGGATACCCGGCAGTGAGTGAATTGAGAGGTTTCACAATCTTTGAGTAGTCTTTTATGAACCGGCGATAATAACCGCACAATCCCAAAAAGGTTCTTAGCCACTGTGCTTTGCAATTTTCTTCAATTCCTCAAGGTACGTTTGTGTAGTGGATTGGCCAACTGTAGAAATGTACACACCTGCTAAGGCTTTGATATCAACAGCAACATCTGTCTGAGTCTTGCTTGCAAGTTTGTATGGCAAAATGTCCAACAGTGACTGTAAAGCTGTGCCATATGTAAACTCTACAATCATTTACAGGCTGGATCCAGCCTGGGGCAGGTCTACTGGGATTCTTCTCTCAATCGAGCCATATTGGTTTAAGAAGTCATAAAGTAAACATAGACAATGAATATGTTCTGCAGTATAATCAGAGGTAAGTATTTCACCTTTCCCTTGTTTTCTGATTTCTGTGACTTAGTAAATGGTATCCATATAGGATGAACAAAATAAAATAGCCTATTTTATTTTAGACTGGTCTACTAAGTATTATTTATAGATCTTTCCTATTTTAATCTCTTCAATATCCTGAGTTAACTCTTTTTCTTTTCCCTTTTCACAGGTAAAATATATCTAATTCAATGAAAAAAACACAATTGTACCATCAATGAAATCAAATGACAAATGAAAACCTATATATTAGAGTACAATATATAGTGTCTCTTTAAATCCAGGTACAACTTAAATCCAGTTCCAACCTTATAATTTCTTCAATACTCCTACCACTCTGGCAGTGAGTTCAGCTATTGTCTCTTGATAAACCAGCAAGTCCTCTCACTGGCGCGAAGATCAAAGCAGTCCATGGGTCTGGCTCGCCATCTTGTATCAGAGCGCGTGTGTGTGTGTTGTCCTCTCACTCGCGATCAACTTTTTTATCCAGTCCAAAAAACCTGACCAAAACACCGATGGTTAATGTTCTTTACCGTCTACTGGGTTTCCCGACCGAGTGGATGGTATTTTTATCTTTTTTAAATCAACTTTGAATCACTTTTAATATAATTTACTCCGCTCGTCTCATCTGCGTCTTGCTCCGTTTTCTCTTTTCTCCTGCTACGCTGCGCGTGCCTGGTGGTGAGCAGAGATCCCTTATAGGAACAGTACCTTGTAATTTGTCGTACTACTTTTATTTATTATTATTTTTAAAGGGATTGGTCAATGTTATCATTGACCAATTGTAAACGTGTATCCTTAAAGGCCCTGTCACACTGTCCCGAAATTGACACCCGATGGACACACGATAAAGGAAATGTTAAAATTCGGCTGTGATCGTAGCAACATCGGGCCATTCGTGAGGGCATCTAAGCCATCGTATGACCGCCGGTGGAGTTTCTCAGGCTCCGGCAGCAACTTCGTGAGCGGCAACTTCGTAAGGCACTCGTGAGGGCATCTTGTCAAATCGTGTCATCTTCGTGTTATCATCGGTGCATTCACCCTCACTCTGATCGGGGCGAATGCCCGATGGCACCGATGATAACAAGATGCCCTCACGATGGCCTTACGAAGGGAACAATTGACACACGAATTCAACACGAAAATGAACCTTCGCAAGGTCCTTCGGCAATTTTTTGGCATGCCAAAGATTTTGCCACCGCTCACGAAGTTGCTGCCGGAGCCTGAGAAACTCCACCGGCGGTCATACGATGGCTTAAGATGCCCTCACGAATGGCCCGATGTTGCTACGATCACAGCCGAATTTGAACATTTCCTTTATCGTGTGTCCATCGGGTTGTTTTATTGCACAACAAAATCATGTAAATATATTATGTAAATAACCCAATTTGTGTTCTGTGAAACTAAAAAGGATATAATATATTATTTTGAAGGACAGTTGACAGGAAGTTGTTGTTGTTATGGAAACAACATTACGGAGAAAACGTAATATTTTCTACATATAACGACGGATAAAGTAAAGAACAAAGTCTGAAGATATCAGTACAGTATCATAGTACTGTAACATAATTGTTTTTGGTACTTTCATTGTAGTTGTATGTCTTAAATGTAATGTAAATGTTGCCTTCGTGTGTGGTTCGGGGCCATCTTCGTGCGAAATTCACAATTCCATATTCGTGTGTCCATCGGGTGTCAATTTCGGGACAGTGTGACAGGGCCTTTGGTCAATGTTATCATTGACCAATTGTAAACGTTTATCCTTTAATTAAATCACTTTTGAATGACTTTATGCTTACTATGTTTTAATGTGGGTTTCACATGCAACCCTTTTTTTGACACTGAGGGCATGCATGGCCAACACTAAAGGTCCAAAGGAGCTTCCAAATAGCTCAGATTGTTATGAATCGAGGAAAAAGGTAGGACCCAAATGCAGAATACAAAAAAGGTAAAAAGGTCTAGGAACAAAAAGCGAGCTTTATTTAAAAAAAAAAAGCTGATGAACAAATCATGGCATGAAACAAACAGGTAGCACATGGTAGCAACAAAGCAAAAACTGACCGTGACCAACATGGAGGGAGACAGGAAAGAAAATGAACCGACAAGGAACACAGGGGAAGACAAGACTAAATACAAAGAGGGGTAATCACAGGACAAGACACAGCTGGGCAGGTGAGGCAGAAACACTAGGGGGGCAACAGGTGAACACAATCAGACAATCAGACACATGAGGGAAAACACAGGAAGGAAGACAAGACACAGGGAGAACAGAATTTCAACATAAAATCATAACAAGACAGACAACTAAGATGGGACAGAAAACTAGGATTGTGACACAGATCTGTTGGAGGTAATGCTATCGGGCTGAACTATGTTCCCTTGCATCACATCTCATCTTTGACACACTTTGTGGCAGGGGGAGACTGATCACATCATCATATACATATCAAATTAACCCATATTTCTCCTGGTCTTTGTCCACACCATACCTCCACATAGAGATCGCTACAGTCTCTAATTAACGACCCATTGTTTGCAATTGATGATTAGATCCTGCACAAAGTGATGACTTTATCTACCTTTGTGCTGCATAAAACATAATCATGACGCAGTAGGCTATAATCAGTCATCTATCTTTTAATGCAAGTGCACGCTGCTGGGCAGCAAAGGGGGCAGTGGCACCTCAAGGTCTCCACGTGTACATATTGTACATGACTGATGTCTGTTGTTTCTGCGTCACCCTCCAAGAGTGCAGCGGGCTTATAAAGAGGAACTCACATAGACTCTCAAACACACAATCTTTTCCCTCCTCTGAGAAGAACAACAGGTATGTCTGACATTTAATTTGCATCACTGGTAGAATAAAAAAAGAATAGCGGCATGCTTCTAAACTACAGGACACGGACGATAACACTTTAAAAAAACTGTCCTCAAGTTTCTATGCAAACCCTTGCTGATAGGGGATTTGTTTGTTAATATTGACGACTGAGTGTCACACGGAGTAAATATGGTTGAAAGTGTAATTTTGTACCTTAAGTCTGGATAATTGTATTTGTTGTTAACCATTACATCGTAACGGCACGTAAATGGAGCTGTCCAGCCGCGGTGGTGCTGATAGGAATGCGCTGCTTTTTGAGACAACAAATTAGTCATTTTGTATCCTTGACTCATTACACTTTTAAAAAAATATATTGTTATAACCCGTAGCCTGTCTTTTTCTTCCCCCATTCAGAAATTCCCAGCCAAAATGAGACTGTACCTCGTAGTTGCCATGCTGGTGCTGGCTTTGGCCGCATTCACACGTATGTCTCGGGTTAATTTAAGAAAATAAACTCCAAGCTACGTTTCCGTTCATGCTGTGTAACTTTGTCTGTTTCTGTTCCAAACCTGCAGAGGCTCAGGAGGCGGAGGCGGCCGTCTCTGGGATCACAGAGATGGGCCAAAGCCTGGCAGACAAGGCCACGGCAACCTTTGAAGACATCAGGACCAGCGACATCATATCCAACTCACAGTAAGCACGCACGCATGCATGCACGCACGCGCTCTCTCTCACACACACACTACACACTGCACACACACTGCACACACACACACACACACACACACACACACACACACACACACACACACACACACACACACACACACACACACACACACACACACACACACACACACACACACACACACACACACGGAGGCGGAGGCGACCATGGAGGAGAAATTCGCTGTGTTCACAAACCAGATGGGTGAGATGGGCAAGAAACTGGCAGACAAAGCCCAGACAACCTTTGAAGGTATCAGAAGCAGCAAATTTGTTGCCAGCTCCCAGTAAGGACGCACGCACACGCTCTCTCTCTCACACACACACACACACACACACACACACACACACACACACACACACACACACACACACACACACACACACACACACACACACACAGACACAAACACACACATGTAATGCTCGTTTTTGTTGTTATCCTCCTCAGGGCCTGGTTGGAGCAGCAGTTGGAAAAGGTGAAGCAGAAGATCGGTTAAATCACCCAGTAAAATGGTCCCTGTCTCCATCCTAAGACCCCCCTCCCACCTCTGATCTCTTCACACATTGCTTTGCTGACCAGACACAATATCTATGTTGCCTCTCTGTAAAGAGATGGTTGTTTTTTTTATCATTTCAATGTAATCTTTTTGAAGAACCACTGTGAAAACTTGAAATAAAGACACTGGGGGAAAAAATAAAGCTGTGCTTTAATGTTCACATATTCTGTTTAAGCGTTAGTAATTTTCTATAGGAACAGATGTACTGAACTGTGTAATAAATGAGCAGTTGTTGTGGTCTCACACAGAGTGGCCGCCTTATGTTATACAAAACACTGCAAGTCATTTCTAATTGTTTTCAGATTTATGAGATCGTTATATAGTTATTTCTACATTTATAATAAGGAGAAACAACTCATTGAGGGGCTAGGGTTATACTCAAATGACCTGACTCAATTATTTTTAGAAAAAAATCTCAGTTTTCTAATTATATAGATACACATTTGTAATCTTTAGTCATTGTAAACCTTATGGCAGACGTACAACACGAAAAAATTGTCAGATTTATTTCTGTATTTATTTGAAATATTACTTTTTACAGACAGACCATGCCGTTTGAATACAAGCTGTTTTTAAACTAAACTCTTACATTACTGAATAAACAGTCCATATTTAAATGATATAAAGGCTATCAAACAAAAATGTTAATGATTATCAAATTGGGGACAAATGTGCATAATCCTCACAAAACGACCTTTTATTTGGTCATGCCTTTACAAATCCAATATTCAAGCAGTACAGTTGCTTGGTATATTATAAACAGGGGTGCACATAACTGGTACGCAGGTACGCCTGCGCGGCACAAATTTGAATTGCGTAACGTCACTTTTGTCACTACGCGCCTTTGCGTAGCTCAAAACATCAAAAACAAAAACACATATTTCGTCTACAAGTGTTTCTTGTCAAGACTCAATGGAGTAAACTACTAGGCATGTCAAAAAAACAAAGACATTAAGCAGCTACGTTGCCGTTTCGCTCCCTGCAAGAAATCTTCGGACTTCCTATGACTGATTGAACTGGGTGCTGGCCGAGCCGTGCAGGACATAACCGACGGACCTGTGAAGCTTACAGGAGGCAGAGGCTTAGATCACTGGACGACAGAGTTGGTCACCGTGTGCACAGACAGGGTTAACTTCGGTATGAACAACATCATTTTGCCAAAACTCCGCCAACTGGCCGCAGTAGGCTCCCCTGTTCACATTCAGTGCCCCGCGCACACACTGGAGAACTGCGCAAAATCAACTGATCTCAAACGTTCACGCTCTGTGGTCAAGCTGCTGCAGTTTTAATTACAACAAAGTGCAGTAAAACACACAGTTGCAAACTTACTCAGGGTGTTAATGGAAGAGTTTGAAATCAGACAGAGGTGGAAGAAGTACTCAGATCTTGTACTTGAGTAAAAGTAGAAGTACCAGAGTGTTACTCTGTTACAGTAAAAGTCCTGCATTCAAAATGTTACATTAGTAAAATTAGAAAAGTATTATCAAAATATAGTTAAAGTACCAAAAGTAAAAGTACATTGGTCCATTTCAGAATAATATATATGTTGTGTTTTATAATGATTGATCATTAAAGTGTTATCTGGTAGAGGTGCAGCTAGTTTTAATGACTTTGTATAGGCTACTGCAGGGTAGCTTGTGAATTTACTCCAGGTGGAACTAAAGTCTGATTTAACACTTGATTATATTTCACATCATTAATCCAGATCTGTAAAGTAACTAAAGGTATTAAATACATGTAATGGACTAAAAGTAAACCATTTACCTCTGAACTGTAGTGGAGTAGAAGTACAAAGTAGCATCAAAGTCATGTAAAGTACAAATATCTCAAAAGTGTACTTAAGTACAGTACTTGAAGAAGTGTACTTAGTAACTTCCCACATCTGAAATCAGCTATAACTTCAAGTCATGTAATAATTTCTTAGTATTTGATCCTTCAACTTGGCCTCAGGAAATGCAAGGACTTCACAGTTTTGGCAACAAGTTTGGAGAAAGCAAATCGGAGGCTTAAAAAGATACAGGGAGGTGCATCTTCATAATCTTCATCATCTAGCATGTAAGAAGTGTAAATAGAGGACAGTGAAGGAGACACTGAGGAGGACCACACTTCGTGTGGGGTGAGTACCAAACGCTGTCTCCTGGTACTCATCTGAGTAACTCACTAAAAATGTTATGTGCACCCCTGATTATAAATCTGAATTACCCATTATGACCAATACATGTGTAACACTTCTTATCTTGGGCTATGCTATCTGACTAGAAGGATTCTGGGTTCTACTAGAGTGGATAGACAGGTAAGTAATTAGACCAGAGACCAGGTGGTTTGAATAGAACAGCCGGCAATTTACTGACGAAATAGACAAATAGACAAAACATTGAACATAGACAATGAATATTTTCTGCAGTATAATCAGAGGTAAGTATTTCACCTTTCCCTTGTTTTCTGATTTCTGTGACTTAGTAAATGGTATCCATATAGGATGAACAAAATAAAATAGCCTATTTTATTTTAGACTGGTCTACTAAGTATTATTTATAGATCTTTCCTATTTTAATCTCTTCAATATCCTGAGTTAACTCTTTTTCTTTTCCCTTTTCACAGGTAAAATATATCTAATTCAATGAAAAAAAACACAATTGTACCATCAATGAAATCAAATGACAAATGAAAACCTATATATTAGAGTACAATATATAGTGTCTCTTTAAATCCAGGTACAACTTAAATCCAGTTCCAACCTTATAATTTCTTCAATACTCCTACCACTCTGGCAGTGAGTTCAGCTATTGTCTCTTGATAAACCAGCAAGTCCTCTCACTGGCGCGAAGATCAAAGCAGTCCATGGGTCTGGCTCGCCATCTTGTATCAGAGCGCGTGTGTGTGTTGTCCTCTCACTCGCGATCAACTTTTTTATCCAGTCCAAAAAACCTGACCAAAACACCGATGGTTAATGTTCTATACCGTCTACTGGGTTTCCCGACCGTGTGGATGGTATTTTTATCTTTTTTAAATCAACTTTGAATCACTTTTAATATAATTTACTCCGCTCGTCTCATCTGCGTCTTGCTCCGTTTCTCTTTCTCCTGCTACGCTGCGCGTGCCTGGTGGTGAGCAGAGATCCCTTATAGGAACAGTACCTTGTAATTTGTCGTACTACTTTTATTTATTATTATTTTTAAAGGGATTGGTCAATGTTATCATTGACCAATTGTAAACGTGTATCCTTAAAGGCCCTGTCACACTGTCCCGAAATTGACACCCGATGGACACACGAATATGGAATTGTGAATTTCGCACGAAGATGGCCCCGAACCACACACGAAGGCAACATTTACATTACATTTAAGACATACAACTGCAATGAAAGTACCAAAAACAATTGTGTTACAGTACTATGATACTGTACTGATATCTTCAGACTTTGTTCTTTACTTTATCCGTCGTTATATGTAGAAAATATTACGTTTTCTCCGTAATGTTGTTTCCATAACAACAACAACTTCCTGTCAACTCTCCTTCAAAATAATATATTATATCCTTTTTAGTTTCACAGAACACAAATTGGGTTATTTACATAATATATTTACATGATTTTGTTGTGCAATAAAACAACCCGATGGACACACGATAAAGGAAATGTTCAAATTCGGCTGTGATCGTAGCAACATCGGGCCATTCGTGAGGGCATCTTAAGCCTTCGTATGACCGCCTGTGGAGTTTCTCAGGCTCCGGCAGCAACTTCGTGAGCGGTGGCAAAATCTTTGGCATGCCAAAAAATAGCCGAAGGACCTTGCGAAGGTTCATTTTCGTGTTGAATTCGTGTGTCAATTTTGCCCTTCGTAAGGCCATCGTGAGGGCATCTTGTTATCATCGGTACCATCGGGCATTCGCCCCGATCAGAGTGAGGGTGAATGCACCGATGATAACACGAAGATGACACGATTTGACAAGATGCCCTCACGAGTGCCTTACGAAGTTGCCGCTCACGAAGTTGCTGCCGGAGCCTGAGAAACTCCACCGGCGGTCATACGATGGCTTAGATGCCCTCACGAATGGCCCGATGTTGCTACGATCACAGCCGAATTTTAACATTTCCTTTATCGTGTGTCCATCGGGTGTCAATTTCGGGACAGTGTGACAGGGCCTTTAATGAAATCACTTTTGAATGACTTTATGCTTACTATGTTTTAATGTGGGTTACACATGCAACCCTTTTTTTGACATGCACTGCATGGCCAACACTAAAGGTCCAAAGGAGCTTCCAAATAGCTCAGATTGTTACGATTCGAGGAAAAAGGTAGGACCCAAATGCAGAATACAAAAAAGGTAAAAATGTCTAGGAACAAAAAGCGAGCTTTATTTTTTTTTAAAAAGCTGATGAACAAATCATGGCATGAAACAAACAGGTAGCACATGGTAGCAACAAAGCAAAAACTGACCGTGACCAACATGGAGGGAGACAGGAAAGAAAATGAACCGACAAGGAACACAGGGGAAGACAAGACTAAATACAAAGAGGGGTAATCACAGGACAAGACACAGCTGGGCAGGCGAGGCAGAAACACTAGGGGGGCAACAGGTGAACACAATCAGACAATCAGACACATGAGGGAAAACACAGGAAGGAAGACAAGACACAGGGAGAACAGAATTTCAACATAAAATCATGACAAGACAGACAACTAAGATGGGACAGAAAACTAGGATTGTGACACAGATCTGTTGGAGGTAATGCTATCGGGCTGAACTATGTTCCCCTGCATCACATCTCATCTTTGACACACTTTGTGGCAGGGGGAGACTGATCACATCATCATATACATATCAAATTAACCCATATTTCTCCTGGTCTTTGTCCACACCATACCTCCACATAGAGATCCGCTACAGTCTCTAATTAACGACCCATTATTTGCAATTGATGATTAGATCCTGCACAAAGTGATGACTTTATCTACCTTTGTGCTGCATAAAACATAATCATGACGCAGTAGGCTATAATCAGTCATCTATCTTTTAATGCAAGTGCACGCTGCTGGGCAGCAAAGGGGGCAGTGGCACCTCAAGGTCTCCACGTGTACATGTTGACTGATGTCTGTTGTTTCTGCGTCACCCTCCAAGAGTGCAGCGGGCTTATAAAGAGGAACTCACATAGACTCTCAAACACACAATCTTTTCCCTCCTCTGAGAAGAACAACAGGTATGTCTGACATTTAATTTGCATCACTGGTAGAATAAAAAAAGAATAGCGGCATGCTTCTAAACTACAGGACACGGACGATAACACTTTAAAAAAAACTGTCCTCAAGTTTCTATGCAAACCCTTGCTGATAGGGGATTTGTTTGTTAATATTGACGACTGAGTGTCACACGGAGTAAATATGATTGAAAGTGTAATTTTGTACCTTAAGTCTGGATAATTGTATTTGTTGTTAACCATTACATCGTAACGGCACGTAAATGGAGCTGTCCAGCCGCGGTGGTGCTGATGGGAATGCGCTGCTTTTTGAGACAACAAATTAGTCATTTTGTATCCTTGACTCATTACACTTTTAAAAAAAAATATATTGTTATAACCCGTAGCCTGTCTTTTTCTTCCCCCATTCAGAAATTCACAGCCAAAATGAGACTGTACCTCGTAGTTGCCATGCTGGTGCTGGCTTTGGCCGCATTCACACGTATGTCTCGGGTTAATTTAAAAAAAATAAACTCCAAGCTACGTTTCCGTTCATGCTGTGTAACTTTGTCTGTTTCTGTTCCAAACCTGCAGAGGCTCAGGAGGCGCAGGCGGCCGTCTCTGGGATCACAGAGATGGGCCAGAGCCTGGCAGACAAGGCCACGGCAACCTTTGAAGACATCAGGACCAGCGACATCATATCCAACTCACAGTAAGCACGCACGCATGCATGCACGCACGCATGCATGCACGCACGCGCTCTCTCTCTCACACACACTACACACTGCACACACACACACACACACACACACACACACACACACACACACACACACACACAAACACACACACAAGGAGGCGGAGGCGACCGTGGAGGAGAAATTCGCTGTGTTCACAAACCAGATGGGTGAGATGGGCAAGAAACTAGCAGACAAAGCCCAGACAACCTTTGAAGGCATCAGAAGCAGCGAATTCGTTGCCAGCTCCCAGTAAGGACGCACGCACATGCTCTCTCTCTCACACACGCGATCTCACACACGCGATCTCACACACACACACAAACACACACATGTAATGCTCGTTTTTGTTGTTATCCTCCTCAGGGCCTGGTTGGAGCAGCAGTTGGAAAAGGTGAAGCAGAAGATCGGTGAAATCACCCAGTAAAATGGTCCCTGTCTCCATCCGAAGACCCCCCCCCCCCCCCCCCCACCTCTGACCTCTTCACACATTGCTCTGCTGACCAGACACAATATCTATGTTGCCTCTCTGTAAAGAGATGTTTGTTTTTTTTATAATTTCAATGTAATCTTTTTGAAGAACCACTGTGAAAACTTGCAATAAAGACACTGGGGGAAAAAATAAAGCTGTGCTTTAATGTTCACATATTCTGTTTAAGCGTTAGTAATTTTCTATAGGAACAGATGAACTGAACTGTGTAATAAATGAGCAGTTGTTGTGGTCTCACACAGAGTGGCCGCCTTATGTTATACAAAACACTGCAAGTCATTTCTAATTGTTTTCAGATTTATGAGATCGTTATATAGTTATTTCTACATTTATAATAAGGAGAAACAACTCATTGAGGGGCTAGGGTTATACTCAAATGACCTGACTCAATTATAATCTCAGTTTTCTAATTATATAGATACACATTTGTAATCTTTAGACATTGTAAACCTTATGGCAGACGTACAATACAAAACATTTATTATATAACACTTTATTTGAAATATTACATTTTACAGACAGACCATGCCGTTTGAATACAAGCTGTTTTTAAACTAAACTCTTACATTACTGAATAAACAGTCCATATTTAAATGATATAAAGGCTATCAAACAAAAATGTTAATGATTATCAAATTGGGGAAAACCATTGAATCTAATGGCAATTTAAAAACAGTTGGAATAATCACAAATAAAAAGAGGCCTTGGCTGGATTCAGATGTAACCCGTTTCCAGGCTTGCAGTCAATCATCTAGACATGTAATCAGAGGACAGTGTTATATGAAACCTAGATTCATACATATGGCACTAGAGAATTTATCTATAATGATATTAAAGTCTAATATGAATGAGATTTGTTTCTTCATTTTATGAGAAAAGTGCTGACATGTAAGATATTACTTTCTTGTTGACAACCCAAAGCTGTAAATGGATATTGAAGAAGTAGAAGTCTTTGCAAATTAGCGGTAGCAAAAGTGAATTGATTTTGTCACATCTAGAGACATATATGATAAAAAAACTCTTGAATTCATAAAAACTTTCCACTTTCTGATCACAACGGGATTTAACGTTTGACCAATTCAAATAATAAATAACTTAGATGAATAATTCATTTGATTACTTAATCCTAAAGTCAATATCATCCCTGAAGCCGATTACTTAACCAACAGAAGCTTCTGGTAGGTAAGAGTTGATTAGTGTCAATATCTGGTACCAAAGGGCAAGTGCCAACATGGCTGCTTTTCAGGCATTTCACAACTCCCGGGCTAAAGTCACTGTTTATGCCGGGTTAATGATCCACCAGTTGTCCTAGTTCAATGAATCCAGTTCCTGTGAAGAGAACAGAGTGACAGAGGTCAGCAGCTGCAGAACAGAGGTCACAGATTATGATCATATTGCATCAGATGAGTGGGAGGAAATCTACTTGAAATCCATTTGGGGTCAATTTGTTTTAATGTCAGGGACTTCTTTTTCAGAGAATAGACATGTTAAGAAAAGTTTGCTCTTCAAATGGTGGATCATTTGGTGTAACACATCGACTGTGTAAACTGATTAAAGCAAATTGACACTGAGATTAAAGAAGTGTTTTGTCTCCACTCAAAGCTGGAATAAAAACCGAGATGTGCCGATACCATTTTTTTGATTAATTGACATTTTATTCTAAGCGAATCCGCCAATCCGCTTTACTCTCAAATACAGTCGTATCTCTTTTTAAAATCGACTGTTTTAGAATAGCTTTTATATGATTGTATACTTCTGTTTGTTTTACTCTCTGTGTAGTGGCTGTTTTTAAGCTAATTTTATTCTCCGTGTTTCAAATCAAATCAAGTTTAATTGATAAAGCATATTTAAAAACGATTTTTGGTCGAGCCAAAGTGCTGTACATGTAATAAAAGCACACTACAATAACATAAGAAACAAAAATAGAAAAGACAAGAATTTACAACAGACAAAACACAGAGAAATGTCAGGTGTCATGCTCAGCTCTGACTAGAAGGCCAGAGAGAAGAAGAAGTGTGTCTTCAGTGAAGACCCCTAGGGTCTGGGCCGACCTCACATGGAGGGGCAGACTGTGCATATACTGTGTTTATATTAATAAGTCATGTGAAAGCAGTTAAGTAACTCGGTTTGAAAGAAGCTATATGTTCATTGTTATTTTCATTTTTTAAATGTAAGTGTATATACTTTTGTTTGTCATTATAAAATGATTTGTTGCATAATGGAAAGATACTCTTTTTAAACTCACAAATATACACTTGAAAAAATGCTTCTCCAAAAACAAGTAAATATATAATAAAAACAAGGTGTTTTCGCTTTTAATAAATGAACAGATCTGCCAATAGAACATTACATTACATTTAGCTGACGCTTTTATCCACAAGTACAAAATAGCTTGGTAAGATTTCTTGAAGTAAAGATGGGATAATTAGATAAATTAGATGCTGTATTTAGCTGGGAAAACTTATTTTGAAATATATTTGACCAGAATTTGGGAATTTATAACAAAAAAAGCCAGAAATACTTAGACATTTTCAGTTTTCTGATGTAGTTGGAGATTTCCTATAAAATAAGATGTTTTTAAGAGACTTTGACTTAAAAAGATGCCTTGTCTAAAAACAAGACTTAAGTTATTAAGTCTTATATCAAGGGTAACGACATATTCTGACTAGAATTAGACAAATATACTTGGAAAGATTTTACATGTTTGCAGTGTACAGCAAAGCACAGATGTTCAAAAACATAACACACAACCTAATAACAGGTCAACATTCAGATTTGTTTACACAGCTGCGGGATCAGGTTTGTAATTCAAGTTATGAACTCTAATGTCGACAATAGGGTTGATTTGTTTTCATTCATAACATGCAGCGAGCACAGAGCGGAGTAATGAGAAGATTATATTGACTTTGAGGTGGACTCTGCCCAACAGAAACGCTTGGCTTAGCTAAACAAACTTTTATCAGAGACAGAGACTTTGACTGGCCTGTATACATAAGTGTGTTGAGATATCTGATCCAAAGGGCGCTCGGACAGTTAGTGAACTCAGCTAATGTTGATCTTGAAAAGATATCAAGAGTTCAGGATCTGACATTAACATTATAACACAGATAACATTTAGCGGTGAAAAGAGACACTCTGAACCAATGGCAAGTATGTGATAGGTTTCAATTAAATCATGTATGTTTGCAAAAAATTACATAAATAAATTCTCTCTCTACATTTTTTAAATCCATTTATCTTCACATGTATATAATAATGCTTTTTATTATTTGATTAAAGTCTTAGAGACACAAAGATAAATCCCTTTGCGCTTGTTGGAAATACTTCAGTGTTGCTTTGTTATCTCTCAGATTCTGTCAATAAAAAGACAAAAACAACGTGTTGAAGGATTATTCGCTCTGGCCAACGTACATGCGGTTGCGGTGACCTAATACAAATAAAATGGCTTGATAGCACTTGTATGATTCAACTTCTGTTGACCAGAGCCAAAGGAAAGGTAAAGATACACTTTGCCACTCATTTGTACTTTGCTGCGATGATTATTCGAACAATTGGCGTTAAAATCGGGGATTGAATTTGATAAATTGATGTTTTGTTGCTTAAAAAGGAGCAAAACTGATAGAAAACCTTTTTTAACATAATGTGCTCATAACAAAACGTTTGTAGTTGTGACATGTAGTTGCGGTTGTTTAAATGTGCTATATAAATAAATAAAGATTGAGATTTGAACTTGACCATTTCAGCATTATTGAAATAATATTACGCCTTCTGACGGTTGTGTTTCTCATGACAGATGCATACCAAAGAGCTTGTGTTCGGCCTCATCTTACTAATGCAAGGTATGACTTTAAAAGTAATTATTCTAGTCATTCAGTCATTTTATTTCTGAGCTTGTCCTCCCTCACTGACAAACATCCTCCTCTGCAGCATGTGGACCTCTTTTGGCAAAGACAAAGGCTCCAAAACAACCCAACTCTTCAGGAATACTGCAGTGGCTGACGGAGAAATTCAGGTATCATCCTCACTCTCACCGTCATTAATGCAAGCAATTTGGACCCATTTTAAAGATAATATATTAATTGTTAACATTTGTCATGGTCTCTGTGTACTCGTGCATCTCATAGGGGAGTCAAAGCTACAGTCCAGGGTTATTTCGGTCCATTTCTGGGCTTTCTTTTCGCTTACTACGAAGACCACATCCAACCAGTGACTGACAGCTGCTTTCAATGGGCCTCTAGAGTGTGGGAGAAGATCCATCCAACCATTGACAACTACTACATGCCAGAGCCAGCAGCTAATCCAACGGATACCGGGACAAAACGAAAGAATAGCTGGCAATAAATGAATATTCTTACCACATTACGAATCTGTATTTCTTACCACTCGATCCTGAACATATCATAAGATTTCACTGCTGGTTCTGTCCAACATGTTAAACGTGTTGTTTAAGAGTGTATTGTGCTGAATGGACAGTTTGTCATGCAAAAATGCACCTTGGCCATTACACGAAACATAAATGTAGCACTTAAAAGGTATAGCCCATTCAAAGCTAATGCACCAACATCAAAGAATGTAAGCCTTTCTTTAAGTGAATGAATAGCAGATGTTTCTTTGTTATGGTTTTATTGCACTTATTTAAAGTCACAGGATTTAATGTTCTGAAAATATATGCAAAGATAGAGAGGTAATAAACAAATACAGAATAAAAAAGCTATCAATCATTATAATAACGGTCCCTAAAATCACTTTGCATGGAGTCGATTTCAGGGAATTAAGGTGAAAGGTGAAGGCAGTAATCCCAGCATGCATTGCTCTGGGTGCAGTACAGTGTGTCTAGACCTGTCCTGGTTGATTGACCTGCTGACCATTTCACTCTGATCTATATCTGAGCAGGCATTTTAAAGTGAAAAAATGTTGGTTAGCTCGAGTTAATTTACTAAAAAATATATTTCAATACATAAGCTGCCTTAAAAGTGTTTCGTCGATTTTGACTCACATGCACCATGAGGTTTTGCAAACACTCCACTAATGCAGTATTATCAGCAGGGCTCCAAGTGCATGCCACATGAACACATGAACTTACATTGCATAACCACTGACTCAAATTTCAACATATGATTTTTAAGGGGAATATCATGTACAATGGACTTTGTGTAGGTGAACATGTGTGAGTGCTCATGTGCACGCATGTGTGTGTAGGTGTGTGTATGCTCATCAGATGACGTTTGTTTGCAGTCGGGGGGGCTATATCATCCTGTCCAGATGTGAGCTCCCAGTTACAGACAACTCGCTTTCAGCAGAGAACACTGTCACTTCTCGGACTTGTACATCCAACCCAACCGCAGGTAACGTCTCTTTTTACTGCAGCTTTTATTCTGCACTACATTTAGGTATCTGACTTTTGCATTCAGTTTTATATTGATTGACAAAACAGAGTTCCTTTAAATTGTTATTTTTCTCTTTTGTTTCAGACATGAATGCAAAATACACTTTGGCACTGATCCTGGCTCTGCAGGGTAAGGCACAAATACCAATGTGATCTGAAGAATTGTAGTGTATGGATTTGATTTTTTAATTGAAGCTTAACCACTTTGTGACCATGTAAAAAGTAGAACATATCAACTCAAACACAGAGAAAGATTTGAAGTGATGAACATGCTTCTGCTTTTCTTGCATTGTGCATGTAATTGTGTTTTGTTGCAGTACTTAAAAAGACACTTTTGCATGGCTTGCTGCTGCTCTGAATTATCTGCAAGATAAAGATTGATTTTTAAATAACACACTGAATAGTCAAAGAAATCTGTCATTGAATTGACAAAAGGGAAAAGCCAAGATATGCAAAGCAGCTCTTCGATAGTTCCTCCAAAGCAGGATTCCTGAATAAACTTAGTATCTCCTGATGCTCTTTTGACTTAAATTAATCTGGTTTTGATTTGGCAACACTGGTCCTATCATAACAGTCCAACCATTCTGATTTCCTTCCAGTCTCCATGAGCCTGTGTGAGGTTACCCAACCATCCCAGGAACTTGTTGACAAGTATGATGCCATGAAACTGTCTTCTACAAGAGGCTGCTGGAACGCTTTCAGCAAAGTGCAGGTTGCCGCTGCCTCCCATGCTGGAGAATGCCGGAACTAGTGAGGCGTGGCCAGGCTGCCAAGGACTACTTAGAGGTCCTGCAGACTAAGCCCGAGTTTAAAGCCGTCGTCAAAGTTGCCACGTAGTTTTCAACAAGGAATTGCTTTCTGTGAAGACCCTGTATTATTAACCAAAAAAAGGACAGCTTTTCTGAACTACTTTTAGTTTAAAATCCATCTCCACTACAAATATGCAATGAATTCCAAAATGAGATTTCTCTACTAAGATACTGAATGGCTCTTCTTATGAGTTTTCTTTAAATAATCTGTCTTCCCTGACTTGCAGCGGCATGGCACAGGAGGTATCTCCCCTGGTGGACCAGGTCCGTTCCGCACTGCTGGGTCTGTACGAACATCACGTGCGCCCCCAAGTTGGAAACCATCTGAGCGACGCCATCGACTCCATCAAGGTCTACCTGGACCAATACATGCCCGCAGAGTAAAGAAGAGCAACTGCAGCTAGCCTCGTGTCAGCAGCCTGTTAGAGATGATAGATCATAGAAACAAACACACGTTTATGCTGAGAAGAGCAATGCACAATGCAAAAAATACTATCTTTTTGAGTTTCAAACAGGGTGAATATCCCCTATGCTAACTGTGCATGTTAAGTGTTTCATACACTGACCAACGTGTCTGTGTGACTGTGTATGTATATGTGTGAGTGTGTTCATTAAAATGAACTGGAAACTATGCAAAGTGTGCTTCTTCATCAGGACATGCAACGTTTACTTTCACAGTTGATATCATACAGCTTCACTTTGAATATAATGTATTTTGTTCATAGGGACGAAGCATTTTAACATAGTTCAGATACAGAGCATGAAAGTTAAAATGGTTTTCAATACCGAACCCTAGTTTGTGGTGTGAGCTATAATATATTATTTTAAGAGTAGAATAATTGTTTTAGACTCCACTAATCACGGGGTTGTACTATGCATTTCATTTAAAATGAAACAATTAAATATATTGCTACATACATGCAGATCAATCAAACATTATGGAGCTGTTTTGTTTATATCATCAGCTACCAGTTCGATACTATTGGTACTGTCATATACAATGAATGATGAGATCAAATTGTCTCACACTTTGAACTGTATTTCTAACAGGTAGCTCAGGCTCAGTTTTGGGCAAATTTAGGCAAACTGTGTTTCCAGAATTTTGAAAATCAGCAACATGTTTATGATCAAACAACAAAACCACACAGATTATTATTAATATAGAAATAAATAGTTGAAGACAATTCATCAGCGTGATTACAGTGAACTCAATGAGCCATTTTGAGGAATGGCCTGTTTAGTGAGAGCAGCAGAATGAACTCATTCTTATTTTTCATCTCATGTCTCAGACCATTGTTTTATTGGATATAGATATATCCCTACTGTTTTAGTACAGATTTCAAGACATGACACCACACACTGTCATTGTCGGCAGTGTCATTTTGCAGCTTAATATCAACCGTAGCGGAGTACATTCATCACAGCATTGAATGAGCTGGATTCAATCAAAACCACAATCTCTCAAACAGTTTGAATCCCACCGTCAGCTGTCCTCAAAGCGCCCCGAGTCCCCAGGTCGACGGCAAACATGACATGTTTACTCAGGCCTGGATCAACACGTAGACTTCACAGAGAAAATGAGGTCTTAAAACCTAAAACGTGAGATCAAAGCTGAGACTTCACTGTCTTTGTAATAAGAGATGCAATCAAGAGAACAATGCTGGTTTGGAAGTTTGTTGATTAGAGGATAAAACAATGTTCTTAATTCATGGACAAATTATATAAGACTTTTGTAAACTTGTGGTCCAGAGGTGGAAGAAGTACTCAGATATTTTATTCAAGTACGAGTCAAAATATCACAGTGTAGAAATACTCTGTGACAAGTATAAGTCTGGCATTCAAATGATACTTAAGTACAAAAGTATAACAATCAAAATGAACTTAAAGTACCAAAACTGAAAAGTACTCATTATGCAGATTGGCCTTTTTTAAGAATAATATCTATTATATTGCTGGATTCTAATTAATGATCCATTGTGTAATATGGACATCATTTGTATCTGTTGGGGATACCTTTAGATTCTTAAAATGAACTTTCAAAGTCACAAGAAGCTAATCTTGTCAAATAAATTGTGAGTGAGTAAAAAGCACAATATTTTCTTCCAAATGTTTTGTGGATTATAAGTGTGAAGTAGAATAAAATAAAAATACTCAAGTAAAATACAAGTACCTCAAAAATGTACTTAAAGGTCGGGTATGTAATTTTGGAGAAACCAGCTCAAGTGTGCTAGAATTTGAAAATACACAACCGGAGAAAATCTGCCACTTCCTTCAGACTTCCTTCCAGAGCCCCTCCTCCAACACACGCGAACGCGCACATGACCAATGAGGGTATTTTGCTATATAGTATTATCAATATGTCAGCTACTGAAACAATGTATTTAAGATGTTTTTATGAAATAAGTACAGGTTGGAAAATGTTTTGTTTTTTTTAAACTCAACTGTTACAACTGTCCTTGTGTACAGGGACAGTTGTGTACAGGGACAGTTGTAACACATGCCACGCACGGTTATAACATGTTAATAACGGTTACCTTTTTTCACACTGCATGACAAAAAAAATAGGGAAAGCTGTCAAATTCTAAAGCAACAAGATTGTAATGGGGTTTCACACATCCTCCATCAAACAATGAACAGAACTTAAAACAGAACACCAGAATTAATCAGATTCACAGTTGTGGCAGGTGTAAAAGGCACTTCCATCTGTGCAGTCCTTGTGTGCCCAGGCTTTACAGGAGCAACACTGCAGCCAGATCTCCTTGGACCTGGAGTAGCTCTCCAGGCACACAATGCAGTATTGGGCCTCATCTTCATCAGATGAGTCCTGCACCTTCTCCTTCTTGTTGTTTTTTGTTGTTGTTACAGATATTGATTTTTGTCTTCGCTTTAGACTTCTTTGCGTTAGATATTTTTTTCTCAGCCTCGAGTAGATTTTTTATAGGAGTGTCTGTGAGGACAGCGGTTTCTCTTGTTTTTCTCCCCTTTGTGGTCTGCTTCCTTGGTCCAGCTTTTGGATGTGGACGGACATGGGTGAGAACATATTTCACTTGTCTGTTCACTATAGGCCTAAATATACGTGATCACTTACTTTTCTTTTGTTCTGTATAGATAGCCTATTCTACCTTAATTATGTGGACCTACCTCCTTTGAGCTGAGACTATAATATAAATCAGCTGCCTCCATCAGGTAGTCTCTCAAAAGCATCTCCTGCTCTGTTGAGAACACCTTCTTTGGTGTCCAGTAGCCTACTCTTGGGGGTGTTTGTGATCCCTGACTCTCCAACCTCAGCCTCTTTGTATGGAACCGGTACAGGGTGACATGGCATATATCCAGGGACTTTGCCACTTCCCTGAATGATTTGCCCTTCTCAACTTCATTTGAGGCCCTCTGCAGCAGAGCAAGTGGCACTCCCCTGTCTGTCTTCCTCTTTCTGACATTTGGCATACTGTAAACACACACTTTAGGCCTACTGTACAGTATTTTATTCTGTTTATTTTTACAGGGACAATGCACACCAATCAACAATACAACTGTATGCTTGAATGAACAATTGATCATTCAAGCAAATGAGCCATCATTGTAAATGTGCCACGTTACAACCGTCCCAGGACCACCAGTCTTGCTTCCACCCCCTGTGAACCTGCCTAATTGCTAGCTTGACCCATATTTAGCTAGTTATATTTGTAGCTTACAAAACAGTGATTCTAATAATACTAGTTTGGATTCCTAGACATTTGAACTCAAGACAGTATCCAAAAAATACATCATATAATTGTAGTTAATATTTTACCTCAGAAACACACTTTTGCTGATATCTTACGGCCCCTACACACGGCGGCGTGCGTTGCCGCTTCAACGCTTCTGCCCATTCACTTTGAATGGGATGACGTCACGATTCGCCGAACTGCATTGTGGGAGCAAAGCGTAGCTTCTCTCGCGGTGCTCGCTGCAAAAGTAGAGCAATGTTCTACTTTTGCCGCCTCGACGGAGGCGTCAGTCAATCAAATCCCGCGTATGCAAATCTGACAGTACAAGCACTAGCCAATCAAACCGCGTGTATGTTGGGAGAGCCAGACGCAGTTATTTTCCATATGTCAAAAAATGGAGGAGAAAATTATCGTGGCGGTAGGGAATCACCCGGTACTCTATGACCAGTCCCTCTTTACATACAGAGACAGTGGGTGAAACTGGTAGGTTTTCGCCTGTTTGGGGAGTTTATAGCCAGTGTACTTCGTTTGAATGGACAGCTAGCAAGCATAGACAGTATATTTAGCCAGCATGGATGTAGCATGAATGCTTTGCTTTGTATGTCCGGGGCGGGACATTCATGTGATTGGTTGTTGGTCGCGTTGCTCGCGTTGACTCCCCAAGCTCAAGACACGCCCACCGCCAAGCGGCAACGCACGCCGCCGTGTGTAGGGGCTGTTACGGTACATCCACACAGCAGCTTTAAACAAATCTTCCAACGCTTCCAACGCTTCTCTGCCCATTGACTTTGAATGGGGATGACGTCACTTTGCCTCGCTTTTCGCCGAACTGCATTGTGAGGGAGCGAAGCGAAGATTTCCAGGATTTCCAGGATTTTCAGGATTCAAAAGTTGAGCAATGTTCAAAAGTTGAGCAATGTTCAACTTTTGAAGCTGAGCTGGAAGCCAGCCAATCAAATCCCGTTTATGCAAATCTGACAGTACAAGCGCTAGCCAATCAAACCGCGTGTAAGCAGGGAGAGCCAGACCGCAGTTCATTTCCTCATATTCCAAACGAGAAATTACGGTAGCAAATCACCCGGTTCTTTACGACCAGACTATTTACCGGGATACAAACCGGAGGAACCAGGCATGGAGGGAGGTGGCAGAGACAGTGGGTGAAACTGGTAGGTTTTCGCCTGTTTGGGGAGTTTATATATAAATATATATATATATATATTGCTCGCATAAAATCCCCGGGGTTTTTTGCTTTGTATGTCGGGGGCGGGAGATTCATGTGATTGGTTGTTGGTTGCGTTGCTCGCAAAAAATCCCCAAGCTTTCAGACACGCCCAGCTCCAAGATTTTCAAGATTTTTTCAAAGCTGCTGTGTGGACGTACCGTTACGCGAGAAATTCAAACGTGGCTCCTTTTTTCTCAGCGATCTTACCATCTAACTGCGCATGTGCAGAGTGAGTGTCATCACTCTAGCTTGTTTGTGATTGGAGATATTGAATGTGTTACAACCGACCCGTGTTGCAACTGTCCCTGGTCTCCCTACTTAGTTTCTTTCCAACATTGTCTGTATATAAAACAGTGTCTGCTTTTTACAAGCACAACTTCAAAAACAAACATTATGGAACTACATTGTGAACAAATGTTTTGCGGCAAACGGCATACTGTAAGTGAAGTGATAAAATCAAATGCAATACACTTTGACAAATTCAGATAATATTTCCTCACGTCCCACTGTCTTTTCGTTTGAGTGTGCTATGAAACATTAAAAATACTGGAGACCTAGCTCTGGAAATAGGAAACAAATGAAGCCAGACGGAGCTAGACAACTCTCTATTTCAGCCAATCAGCTAAAGGTGGCGTAATACTCCGACACAGAACAGGGGGAAAGGCCAAGGACGTACAAAGAGAGAAGCATCAGAGACGGTAAATCTATTTATTTGTATTTGAACTGAGTGTTCAGTTGAAATATCAACAATCGTTTACAAAACCTATGACTCCACCTTTAACAACAGCCAACAATATCGACCAACCTCAAGGCTACAAACAGAAAAATCTATAAAAAATTAAATTAATGAAATAAAAATTCTTTTTTTTGGTTATGGCGTGATAAACAAGGTATTATAATTAATAAAAACGAAATTAGAGTTGTACGACCACACCACAAGCACAATTAAAAATAATAGTAATATAAAACTTGACATTTTAGGCGCCTTTTCTAACAAATAATGTGGTCAAACAGTTGTTTCTACATTAAGAAACCCCACTGATAGGAAACAGAGAAGAGAGAACATTATAATTAACCCCGAATAAACTTCCATTAAAACAAGCAAGGTGTCTTTTAACTGCAGACACATAAAGATAATCTATCTGGCCTAAATATTTCATAACCTGAAGTCGCAGGATGACGTGTTCACCACTCTAGACTCAGGGTCGCCTTAATAGGACTTAGGACTATTGTAATGTGGCATGAACGCATCACCACCATTATGCAACTCACAAGAGCCCCTCACTGAGGTTGTTGACAGGGCAAGGTGTAAGCTGCTTTGATGAACTAACGCAATCAATGTGAAATATTTGATCTGAGTGAATTCAAAGTTTGCATCACACACAGTGACCTGGAACCTGATGATCCCCCCCCCCCCCCCCCCCACCCTTCACCTCACCTCCCCTTCAGGCCCTTTGCTCATAAGTCCCAATCAGTGGATTTTGATTATGTTTCAAGTCTCTTTATATTCTTTTATTCACATCCTTGTGTTAACACAGATGTCTGTTTAATCAAGACACAATGGCACACAAACTCCCACATTAGCACTCCGGACAACAGCGCAGGTTTATCTATCCCAGAGTGCACTTTGGCTCCGTGAGCGACAAGTCAACACGTTCACGCTCCTATATAAACAGGCTGGGACAGTGGAGCCTCTTACTCAGTTTTCTGGAGAGGAATACAGTAAGTAACCACACTTTGACTTCACTTCAAACATTGGATAGACTGCAACTGTATTGGAAAAGCATGCATGTTGTGTTAGATATGACAACATTTGAAGGCAACTGAGTGTTTTAGGAATAAGATGCATGTTCAACAGGATTTAAATGGGAAAACACTTGTATTCTTATGCTAGAAGAGTGAAAAAGATGCTTCAGTCAAAGACAGTGTTAATTACACACATGGAGAAATGTATGACAATGTCTCACCCTAGTGGATAAAGTGCCGTAAGATTTACCCTGTTTCTTCTCTCCTCACAGCTACGAGTGACACCATGAATAAGCTGCTGGTCATCACCGTGCTGGTTGCACTCCTCGCTCTCAGTAAGCCTTTTATCAGATCTTTAAATTAAATTCAGAATAGGATGAATCTGAGATGGATAATATGGACTGTTTCATACTACCTGAACTTTTGAAAGAACATCTATAACATTCATCTGTTTGCAACTTATATCAACATTCCAATTACTTGTATACATAGACTATTCTGCACTATTTCTATTATATTATATTTTATTTATTTATTTACTTGCACTATTTCATCTGTGTTTTTGTGTTGCACTGTTGGAGGAGCATGTGACCTAAGATGTTCATTGTCATAACTACACTGTAGCTATGTACAAATGACACAGGTCCTTGATGTATTTCTTTCCTGATGAAATGTGGCACCCTTTGACACCTCTGACCTGTTTTGTGCAGACGCTGAGAGCTTCCGTGTGTCGAGGCAGGCTGAGGACACTCAGGGGGTGGTGCAGGAGGAGGTGGTGCAGGAGAAGGGGACTCTGGCCAAGTTCACAGACACCGTCAAGACCTACTATTCCGGCGTTGTCAACACTGCCAATGAATACCTGGAGAACATCAAGGGCATGAAGCTGGAGGAGAAGGCAAAGTAAGAGAGCTTAAAAGTCCCCTATTATACTGTTTTTCAGCCATATAGGTCTCAGATATATACAAAACATGTCTCTGAAGTGTTTGGCTCGAAATACCAAACAGATCATTGCAGCATCCCATAATAAGGAGGATGAAAATAAGGAGCCAATCCCCACGCCCCTCTGAGAGATATTTGGTTAAAAAGAACACAATGGTGCTCTAGGAGGAGATTCAGGTGATCAGGTGGGGGAGCCAAAATCTGATCAGCACATTTTCAGACAGGTTTTTATATAAATGGATCAGGACAAAAAGTGAGCGAATCTTTTTTCCTGAAACTTTCAGAATCTCTTTACACAGAGGGGACACATGCTGATGTAGAAGAGACATGAAAAAGTGGATTTTGCATAATAGGTGACCTTTAATGCAGTCTTACCGTAAAAACAGCTCCAGTGATCTTGCAGAGTGGAAAGGAGCACACATCCTTTACTCAAGTAGAAGTACAGATACTCATGTTTAATAATACTCTGGTAAAAGTAGAAGTACTGACTAAACTTCTTTACTCAAGTAAAAGTAAAGAAGTATGGGCCTCGAAATGTACTCAGTAAAAAGTACCCAAAACTATAGTACCAACTGTTTTATAGAGTACCTGACCTCCCTTTATATAAATAGAACATTAATCGAGCCAAGTTTTCATTGGTCCCTCTTCTTTAGAGAAGACCAGGAAATTATGGATACACGGATTGTGTTAAAATCAATAGGCACCCAATGACTCTGAATAATAATGATCACGCCACCAAACGCAGATTCAAACTAAAGTAACCAGCCTGTTTTGAAAATGTAAGAAGTACAAAGTACAGGTATTTGTGTTAAAAATGTAAGAAGTAAAAGTAAAAAGTCGAAAAAAAGGACTAAAGTACAGTAACAAAGTATTTGTACTCCACTACTTCCCACCTCTGCTTAAATGCAGATTCACTGATGCTGAACAACTAAAGTATTGATTTATATTTACTGTGTTTCCCACAGGAACCTTTACACTGAAACCACCAACGTCGTGACCACCTACGCTGGAATCATGCAAGACCAGATTTACCACGGCCTGTACCAGAAGTAAACAGAAACTGATTTCTCATGTAGCCTTTCTGACAGCATGAGGACTTTCCACAAGAAAGGTCATAACGTCATCTGACATTTTAAGCTTTTTACAAAAATGGACTTCCTGCTCTCTGTGGCGCTTACTCGGGCCACTGTACTGCTGCTATATGATGATAACCACCAAAAGAGGAATGTAATCCTTGGAGAAAACAACAGCTTGCACAGAAGAACAAGAACAGAACCAGTTAGAGCATCTGGAGTCAAGTTATCATGTACCAACAGCATTTTCCCTGGGTGGAAAACAAACACGTATAATTAAACAATATATCGCCACCTATGGGTTTCTTCTCAGTTATTTCACCTCTGAAAAAGTGTCATATCTTGAAATAAAATATTTATACAACACAAACTGGTGTCTCCTGTGGATAAATGATAATTAGGTTTACTGTTTTGATGTTTTAAATTGTGCATATTTCTCATATCCCGCTCTGGCTTTTCCTTTTGATCTCACTGATGGAAAGAATCACGTGATTTTGTCTGAATAAATCTGCAATGAGTGCTTTTATCAGCCGAGGCCGCACCAGAACAGTCGCTTGTGTTGCAAATTAATAATGGATGAAAAGGAACAACATGTCAAATGTGAGCGCGGAGAAACTGACAGAGATGCATAAACATCAAAGACTGAGGGGTTTCTTTCTGTTGATTCTGACAAGTAGTGATGCAGGACTGCTGTGATGTTTTAATTAGTGCATACATCTGCAACATGTGGCTTGTCTGAAGCTACAACCAACACCAACAAAGGATTAAAAACACCATCTTTTTCATTTGTTCCCCACATGATGTATCGGGTTTCAGACAGACATAGGACAACAACCATTACTGTTACTTTACAATTCATTGAATAATCATAATTCAGATATACTGTAGTGACACATACAGATCTGTGCGTTTGCAGCCCTGTTGTTATATAAATCAAAGTGAGATGATTTGTACTGTTTGCTTGATATCAGTATTTGTGTAAAATGAATTTGATCAATAGCTGACTGCTATCCCATCTGGCTTTAACACTAAGGTTATTTCATCTGAGGGAATCTGCAGCTGCTGCAAAACAGAGAGAAATTCACACATAAATAATACAGCGAAGAGAAGAAAATTAAACATGTGTGTCTGGCTTTTTACAAAATGTGTTTCATTTGATTCTAATGTCAGTTTTGATTTGGGAGCATTTATGTCTCTAATAATTAATGAACACTTTAAGAGCTTACCCACTTAAAATGGATGGTACTTGAAGTGTGTGTATACAATAATATTTGTTGTTATACCTGAATCTTTAGGAAGGTAGGTATCAGGTCATTCTGATCTTTGAAATCTCATATAAGAGCGAACGTCCCTCTATTTACATCAACATATTAGGACTTTCTGATGTCTGTTTCGATGTAGATAACTCATTTATGAGATTTCAAAGATCTTTTATTTGAAACTCTACATCAGAATGTCCTAATATTCTCTGAATGAATATCTGGGGTGGCTTGCTATCAACCTGAAGTGAAATTAGTCTTTGATTGTGGACAGTTTTTTATATATTGTTATCTAAAAATAGAGGGACAATTGTCAGGGGTTTGGTAGGAAATAGGACCCAAACGCAGTTGATAGATAGATAGATAGATAGATAGATGGATAGATAGATAGATAGATAGATAGATAGATAGATAGATAGATAGATAGATAGATAGATAGATAGATAGATAGATAGATAGATAGATAGATAGATAGATAGATAGATAGATAGATAGATAGATAGATAGATAGATAGATAGATAGATAGAGATAGATAGATAGATAGATAGATAGATAGATAGATAGATAGATAGATAGATAGATAGATAGATAGATAGATAGATAGATAGATAGATAGATAGATAGATAGATAGATAGATAGATAGCTAGATAGATAGATAGATAGATAGATAGATAGATGGATAGATAGATAGATAGATACCATAGTACCATCATTTGTACTTCAGTCAATAAAAATACTGAACGTGTGAAATGTTAACCAGCTTTGTAAGGGTAACTCGGCCTGAATAATAATTCAAGAAGTAATTATTTATAAAGTGGAAGAATACATTTTCCTAAACACTTGAGGGGGGAAGAGAATACTATTATCAAATATATGGTTTCCCAAAGAGCAGCAGCAGAGCTGTGCAATCTGTGATATTTTAAGACATGCCTTTAATATTGCATCATGGTCAAATATTACTTTATAACAGCAGTGGGTATAATATCTCCACTCTTATCTTCTTCATCATTACTGTTAGGGAAATAATTGTCCTAGACTCCTAGATATGACGTGCATGACCAACCCTGACGTCTGTTATTTCCTTTAAGGAGATAGGCTGCTTCAGCCATAATGTTGTTGTTCCCATTCTAAGACCGGGCAACCCTAGGTCACAGATGGTTTATTGTTGTGGGTACACTGGGACACTTCCTTCTCGGTGTTTGTGGACTCCAAGGTGTGAAATCTTCGAGGCCATAAGTGTCAGACGCAAGTAACTCAGTGTTCCCACCTGTTTAGGCTATCTTCTCAAATATGTTGATTACTCTCTGTGAAACCAGTTAAATGGGCTAACGAGAGAGAGGCACTCCAGAATTGACGTGGCAACTCTCCCGTGAAGTCAGAACCTCTGGCTCTTGGACTTGTGATGTGAATGGCCGAACCTTCTAAATAAACCATCAATGTTTGACATCAAAGCTCCTGCTCTTCCCGTGTCTCCTTCATGAGTCGGTGACTCCCACTGCATTGCTACACAGAAGTTTCCCCCACAATTACTACTTGTGGTGCAACAAAGCTTTGTTCATTTATCTATGACACAATTATTCATTATAAAGTGCACTTACTTAGCACAGACTACCCATAAAAACTGTCTTTAATACATCCCAAAAAGCTAAAAGAATCTGTTCACAGCAGATTTTTGCTATTAAGAAGAAATTAACTTCACCAAAATGTGAAATGCAATCTATTATGGATAAACGATTTATTGTATGTACCATGAGTACGGGTCTTTCTTCTTCCTTATAAACAAGGTGTGTCACCAGTACAACATAGTGTTAACCGGACGTGTTCAAATTGTCTCTGATAAGGTTGTACTGGAAATCATGCTGGTTAGTAATAAAGCAGTGTGTTCCTCCCACTGTCCTCAAAAAGGTGTGTGGATATAAATACACCAGACTAATCTCACATTGTCAGAGATACTAACTCAACAAAAACAACATGCATCTGTTCCTACTGGGGGTTGCTTTGGGGCTCGCAGGTAGATATTTACTATGTTATGTGTAAAATAAAAGAGATTAACATTGGAGTAGATGTTCAGTTTCTCTGTGGTCTTGGTGTGTTACAGGAGCGTCTCCTCTGGAGGACTTCAAGGTGTGCCAGCCTCACTCCAGACCCTGGCAGGTGTATCTGCACGGGGGAGGAGTGTCCTGCAGCGGAGCGCTCATCGACCCGTGGTGGATCGTAACCTCTTTTGAATGTACACCCAAGTAAGTACTAGTTAGTGCTGAATGAAAATGTACGACTGGCATACATTCTTGTTTTAATGTGATTGGACATTTTTAATAATAATAATTAATTTATGTTATATAGGCGCCTTTCAAGGCTCTCAAGGTCGCCGTACAAACACAGAAAAAACAAGATACACAATACATAACACCAGCATAAGAAACATAAACAAGACAATGCAGTAGCCTATATAAAAAATAAAATAAATAAAACAGAGGACGTGTGATGGATAATGATCAGGGTGGATATGCGAGTGTGAAGAGATGTGTTTTGAGACGTGATTTGAAAATGGGGAGAGAGTCAGTGTTGCGGATCTCAGGTGGGAGGGAGTTCCAGAGGCGGGGTGCAGAGCGGCTGAAGGCTCTAGACCCCATGGTGGTTAAACGGAAGGGGGTGCAGTGAGGCTAAGGGAAGCAGAAGACCTGAGAGTGACTCTTTTGAGGGTAAAAACTAAACATTTTATGTAAAATAAAACTGCATTTGTTTTGGTTATGCCGTATGTTCCGAATCCGAATAGAAGCACTGACATTTATTATGCATCCAACTTCACCAAAGTATCAGCAGTACAATCAAATGTAAGCTTGGTAAAAACCTGGCTGAGGTGCCGGATACTTTCTGCTCTGTTAGAATAACACGTGTTTAATAAAAAAAATAGCATTACCTGATTAATGTTATTGCTGCCGCCTTTTCAGTATGACCTTCAGTGTTCAGCTTTCCCAACATCTGGCGCATTTTCCTGAAGAAATAAACGAGTGATGGTCATGAGTAGGTTAGACCTTCTTTGCTAGCATTTTGAATCATATCAATTTAAAGATGTAAAGGCTTTATGGAGAACCAGCCAATAGAAGCGTTAGTGTTACATAGCGATGTCAATATGTTACGGAAGTAACAAAGGAGTCCAATTTAGGCGTTGCAGGCAGGGGGGGGGACAACTTTGGGATTTTAGCCTTTGTAGACCATTTACATGCACAACAACCTACATTATGTAACACACTACAGCAGGGGTGCCCACACTTTTTCAGCTAGGGAGCTACTTTTAAAATGACCAAGTCCAAATGATCTACCTACAGGGTCTGTGTCGCGAGCGGCACTACAGGAAAAGGAAAACACCAAAAATCAGAATAGGGCCTGTTTAACTTCATTCAATAACCTGCTAATTTCTCATTAAAGCTTCCTGTTCCTCAGTCGTGGAACTGTGTCTGCCTGAGGTCTGTAAAGTCTAAATTAAATCTAATAAATGAAAGTCTCTCTCACTCTGTCCCTGCAGATCCTACAGGACCGTAGCCTCTCTTGGGGAGCACGATGTGACGGTGGACGAGGGCACCGAGCAGCACATCTACGTTGCTGATGTGATCCGTCACAGTCCGTACCGCTCGCCCCTGCACAGCCTCACCATGGTCCGCCTGGCTGAGCCCGCCCTCCTCACCCAGGACGTGCAGCCCGTCCCTCTGCCTGCCCGCTGCCCCCGGCCCGGAGAGACCTGCCAGGTCAGCGGCTGGGGGTCCACCGTCCCAAATCAATGTGAGTGGATTTATAGGAGCGACATGGCTTTTACACCTCATTAACTTCTCATTAACTCATTAACACTATGTTAGAATGTAGTGTAATTAAAGCAAAGCCAGCATTCCCTGATATAGTCTACAAGTGTTCACTCATTTTTGTAATAGATGTTTTACGTATGCTGTTTCTCATCAAAATGAAGCCTGACATTTTTTTGTATTCATTTGTTAAATCTTTTTGGGAATTTTGTGAAACCTGCTTTGCAATATAGAGATATATCATTGACCTGTCATCAGGGCCAGATGTTCTACGTTTGGTGTTTCTCATGAAAATGAAGCCTGAAAAACATTGAATTAATTTGTTAAATCTTTTTTTGGGACTCTTCTGAAACCTGCTTTGTAATACAGAGATAAATTCCAATGCAATGGAGATGCAATTTTACACAGACCTGTGTGTGTACAGTTTCATAAGGACTGCTTCTTCATTAGAAATCATTCAGTTCATTGTGAGGATTATCTATTTTGCTCCAATGGTTTGGGTTTTTCCGAAAATATATGTTTATTTTTAAAGCCTTTACTTATACTGTATTGTGTGTGCAACAAAATATATTCCAGTCATCTTCAAACCTACCATATTTGGAGGGAAAAAAACTATCACCAACTTTTTTTGAATGACCATAAAACAACCAATCTGCATTAATAAATACCACCAGAGGGTACAGAGAGAAAAGTCATTAGTAATTTAGGTGAACTGACCCTTCAATAAGCCTGGGAGGAGAGATTACATATTTGAGGGGAAAGAAGTTCATATGTGTGACGCATGAAGTCTAACAAAAAAAATAATACCCCAAATAAACTTGTCAAAAACACATATTTTTAATTAGTTGGATTTGTGGTTTTCTAAACACTGACATCCTGTGTTTTAGAACTACAGTTAATTTGAGTTGGACTGAAGTGCATGAATGCAGTGTTATTTACTTTATGTGCTTGATTGAAAGCTGAAATACTTATGTATTTTCTTTTTGATTGATGTTCACTCTTTTATAATGCTCTTTCAAATAAATGCCAATAGAGTGGAACAATGGAAATAGTGGAACCACTTACTTCACAGCAGGAAACATCCATCGTAAACTTGGGCTTAGAGTAATATAGAGACAGAAATACAAAAAGTTCATCTATTAACAGCACATTTGCACAGCGAGTCACGGAAATGTTGGCTTGTGATCAGCAGGTGGGCATGTTCCTGCTGAAAAGCTCATCAATATTCTAGTCATTGCAGCGCTAACAAGGCATGAACACTCTGTTTTAATAACGGCTAAAACTTCTCTTTTTAATCAGTGGAGTTTCTAATTGCTTGTCAAAATGCTCAGTCAGGAGTAATTAAAAGAGCTAGACCTTGAAAGAAGTATTTACTCAAGGTTTAGACCTCAATGCTCCAGTGTTGGGAGTGATAATGCATTAAAATGGGAAGTAATCCATAAACCTGAGGAGGGGAATGGGGAAAAGGTTTTGTCAAGGAATGAGTGGCGGATTGACGAGTGATGGACAGAATATATCACAATGGAAACTTGTACCTATGTTACAGAGTGGGATGAGAAATTGGATGTATTTCATTTGATTGAATCAGAGTAATAACCCGCCTTCTTTCTCTTGGAAACAGATGAGCCAGCTCAACACCTGAAGTGTATAACTGTGCCTGTTGTGGATGACCAGACGTGCATGAACACGTTCCCAGAGTTCCTGTTCTGGAGCCTCGGCATGGTTTGCGCTGGACGAGCAAACACAGACAACTGCATGGTGAGGAAGAAGAAACTGTGTAGAAAAATATCACTCATCACCGGCTTGAGCTTCAACATCAGGATACATGTATTTATTATCAAGAATGGAAGTAGTCCTCACATACAGAGCATCAACTAGTTCCTGAGCAGTGTCCTTCACATGCTGATATACAAGAGAGGGAGTTACACAGTCCCAAGATGGAGGAATAGAAAGCAGTATTCAATGTTTAGTTCAGATTAGCTCCACGTCAGAAATGAGCATGCTTGTCACATGTCTATCTCCACAGAGGCTGAATCTTCATGTTAATCACATAGCTATCATATCCCTCAAACAGTCCTGATGCTCTTCTAGGTAATCATACATGCTGTCATGTTCACAGCTACGTAGGGCCTTTGTTATCATGTGCTACTCTGATATTGGAAGAGTACATTCAGGATTTTCCCAACAATATTAGATACTAATCTGAATCTGTAAAGTGACAAAAGCTACGGCTATTAAGAAGCTATTAAGTAAATGTATGGTTAAAAAATAAGAACAATATTGGCTTCCAAAATGAGTGGGGGAATAGAAGTGTAAAGATAAGATAAGATGTAAGTTATTGGTCCCAATTTGGGAAATGTTTGCGTTGCATTAGCATCAAAGACAAGGCATTGCACAAAAGGGAAATTAAAAGGGTATAAATAAACAATTTCAAAATATCTCAAAATAGAAATAAAAAAGCATGAAAAAAGTAAAGAAAATACATGTTGAAATACCAATTGACAGTAAACAAAATGTAAAGCAGGATATTATATAATAAAAGTGGCATAACATTCAAAATACCCCGGTAAAGTACTTCAAAATTGTACCTTGGACAGTACTTGAGTAAATTCATTACATTCCACTATTGGTTTGAACTTACCTGCTGACTCGCATACATTCAGAGATGGCAAAAGTACACACATCCTTTACTCAAGTAGAAGTACAGATACTCGTGTTTAAAAATACTCTGGTAAAAGTAGAAGTACTGACTAAACTTCTTTACTCAAGTAAAAGTAAAGAGGCTTCGAAATGTACTTCAGTAAAAAGTACCCATAACTAAGCAGCTGTTTTAAAGAGTACCTGACCTCCCTTTATATTAATAGAACAATAATGTCATTGTTAGCTAATGAATGTTTCCATGCTGAACAACGGCAACATGACAACGTTTCCATTGGTCCCTCTTCTTTAGAGAAGACCAGGAAGTGATGGATACACGGATCGTGTTCAAATCAATAGGCACGCAATGACTCTAAAGAATAATGATCACGCATCAAACACACATTCAGACTAAAGGAACCAGCTGTTTGGAAAATGAGAGAAGTAGAAAGTACAGGTATTTGTGTTGAAAATGTAACAAGTAGAAAGTACAGGTATTTGGGTTCAACATGTAAGAAGTAGAAAGTACAGGTGTTTGTGTTCAACATGTAAGAAGTAGAAAGTACAGGTATTTGTGTTCAACATGTAAGAAGTAGAAAGTACAGGTATTTGTGTTCAACATGTAAGAAGTAGAAAGTACAGGTATTTGTGTTGAAAATGTAACAAGTAGAAAGTACAGGTATTTGTGTTCAACATGTAAGAAGTAGAAAGTACAGGTATTTGTGTTCAACATGTAAGAAGTAGAAAGTACAGGTATTTGTGTTTAAAATGTAACAAGTAGAAAGTACAGGTATTTGTGTTCAACATGTAAGAAGTAGAAAGTACAGGTATTTGTGTTCAACATGTAAGAAGTAGAAAGTACAGGTATTTGTGTTGAAAATGTAACAAGTAGAAAGTACAGGTGTTTGTGTTCAACATGTAAGAAGTAGAAAGTACAGGTATTTGTGTTGAAAATGTAACAAGTAGAAAGTACAGGTATTTGTGTTCAACATGTAAGAAGTAGAAAGTACAGGTATTTGTGTTCAACATGTAAGAAGTAGAAAGTACAGGTATTTGTGTTCAACATGTAAGAAGTAGAAAGTACAGGTATTTGGGTTCAACATGTAAGAAGTAGAAAGTACAGGTATTTGGGTTCAACATGTAAGAAGTAGAAAGATCAGGTATTTGTGTTCAACATGTAAGAAGTAGAAAGTACAGGTGTTTGTGTTCAACATGTAAGAAGTAAAATTAAAAAGTTGTCAGAAAAATAAGTAATGGAGTAAAGAACTAATACCAGAAAAATGTATAAGTACAGTAAAAAAGTATTTGTACTCCACTACTTCCAAGCTCTGCATACATTTACCCATAAACCACTGACACAGTCTCCCTTTCTCTCCCCTCTCTCCCTCCAGTGGGACAGAGGCAGTGTGATGGTGTGTGATGGCCGGCTGCAGGGGGTTCAGTGGTTCAGTCACGGCTGCAGTAACCATGACGACCCCAGCGTCTACACTAAGCTGTGCCTGTACAACGACTGGATCAACGATGTGATGGACCGCTACGAGCCCACTCTGCCCGAAACCACTCCAGGGATGACGACTGCAGAGGGACAATAATTCATTCATTCATTCATTTTGTTCCACTCATGGTACATATTCCACCAAACATTGAGCAGTTTATAAAGCCCATGATGGAAAGGAGCAGGGAGAAGAAAGTCTTGATTACTCAAAACTAGCTGGTCTGTCATCACTGCTGCCAGGTGCAGTAACAAAAAAAAACGATTTCCCATCAGCAAAATAAATGACCTGTCATCTTCATACTATCTGTTGTTTATCTATACATTTGCTTTAAATCATTTGGTAAAAAATTCCAATTTCTTACCTACGCTACAGATTTACACTTCTGTTTTAACATAGTGTGTGCAAACGGATGCCTAAAGTTACATTTCCTTCTATGTCATTGTCTTGTAATTCTACGTTTTTTGCTCTACACAATAAATAAAGTCTGTCATTCCATTAAATCAGTATGTTTTAACAGCCCTGAATCTATAAACACTGTTAACCACTCCAATAAACATGGCTCTCTGATATCAGGAGATCACCGTGCGTCGCAGACTGAAAATCCACCTGTTTTGACTGCACCTTGACCGAAACATAAATGATAATAGTTTCCTGTTCTGTACGTAGCACTTAGAAGACTTTGGCCTCTTTGGAGCCAATGCAGTAGCACTGACAATAGTTTGTCTCATGCATAGCTAATGTACCTGCAGGATTCTTGCTTTATTTACTTTCTTCATGGTTAAGTGCACTTATTGTGAGTAGATTTGAATAAAAGAGTCAACTAAATGTAATGTACTGTTTTACCGAGATAGTTCTGTGCTATGAAAAAGGCTTTAGCCCAGAGTTTAGGGGTTGACATTTCAGCCAATTGAGCATGACACAGCACTTCTGCAAAAGTGATACTATATGTAAAATGACCCGACATAAATACCTAAAAGTATTCACAAAAATTCTGCAGCAGCCTCAAAAGCAGAAATCTGTAAGCATACTCCAAACTGTAGGTGTAAACAAAACTAAAATTAAATGTCAAGTGTTGCAACTCTATGTTTTATTCATGATTTTTAATGCAGCCTCTGTTATTTGCTTTTGCTCATTTGCCTCAGTAAAAAAACGTTCCACAGCTGCTTAATAGCTGCTGCTAATTAGATCTGAATGTTTGTTCGCAGTATAGATCATAATTTCACACATGCTGCATGTGACCACCAATTAAATAACCAGCAGGTTTTCTAATTTGTGAGACAAGTTGATGTTTTTCTGGAAAGCATTAAATGAAAATAATGTCAAAAAGGGTAATTAAAGCTGCTCTGATCAACATTTTTATATTACAATAGATCAATTGACTACATTCCCTCCCGCATTTTTGCATATTTTAAAGATACTTTTTTAGTTTTACAGACCTATCTTTTATATGAACTTATTCACTCTCCCATAAGCGTCATTTTCACCCTTAGCAAGCAGCTGTTTTCAGCAACAAATCCCAAAGAGCAGAGCATTATTAAGCAGCATTTAATTATAGTTGCTCCATTTCCTGGATGTATATAAGCAACTACTCTCTCAGAAGTTCATCAGATCACAGCTTCTGTCCCTAAGAGGAAACAAAGTGCAGGTTTCATCATTTGAAATGTAATGTTTCATTGTTAGGCAACTTTGTCGAGATAGATAATAAGATAGATTATAATAATATTTCTTAAAGTATCTATATATTTAATTTGTTATTTATATATATTACACAAATGTATACCCCCAATAATAAAAATAAACTATAATAAGTTAAAATAATTTAAAAAAACTAGAGGATGAAAAGGAAAAATAGAGAGGATTTGACAACTAAAAGAAACATACAGTATATTAATGAAACATATTGAAATAATCATGAGATTTTCAAAAGGTTTGACAGTGAGTAAGAAAGTTGGTAAACAAGAAGCTATAAACTAACAAATCATATATTGCATACTAATTTAAGAAAAGTAGTCCTATTAGGTCGAATATAAAAAGTAGTGATGAGGTTTTTCTGGGAATTCTGCATGGTGCAAAAGCTTCCATAGGATTAAGGGCGACCAGCAATAATGTAAAGTACCACTAGATGGGGGTAGAGACCAATGAGAAAGAAACAAATTGTGCCAGAGAGAGATATTTGGCTCATGACAGCGTGGACAGGTGACATGAACCTTGCATGCTTTGCGAGGTTGTGTGTGAACCCTCAGATCTTGAGCTCTAATCTCCACCCTGACACCGAAAACATGTCGTAGCAATAAACACATAGAATGAATGCAACTTCCCCGAGACACAGTGAGTACAAAGAGGCTGGAGAACACATTGGGGAGTTGAACGCACAGACGTTGCATACATACACAAAAACAAATACACGCATGTGCACGCACACACACACACGTACACGCAAAGTGACTGACAGCTGTGTCCATAATCACCCAGGCAGCTGAACATAGGGGCCACTCTACCATCTGTTCCCAGCATTTCTCTCCCGGTTCTCCTCCTCACCCCCCGTTCTCCCACCTCTGCGGGAGACAGAGGGCACACAGGGGATCGACTTTAGTAACCGTCACTTTAGAGAGCAGTGATATCAGTTAGATGTTAGCTGTTGTTTGTCCTTTTAATTTGGATAGCCATTGTTGTTTTTCCGAGGGAGTCGACTTAAACCAATTTGTTACGTAATGGCCACTGTGGGAGTAATTTTCTAGCTTTTTTGTAATCGATATCTTACTCTTTCCCTTAGGCAGCATTACAACAAGATTGAAATCATGTGGGTTTTCCCCTTAATACATGCTCGGTCTCATTGTAACCTGAATCCCAAGACTGTAGTTAGTTATTTGAGGGCGTGGTTTCTAATTTACCAGACTGCTTTAGAGATCTAGACTAATTCCCTAATCATTTCCACTCAAAGCTGTCTGTTGATAGTAATGGGCTATCGTATGTGCTTCTGCAAACACAACAGCCCATTTCCTTCTTGTACGCTGGAATTTAGCATTTAATTTCCTCTGCAAATAAAGCGAGTCACGGCCAAGGTTAAACATTAACGTTGGATGGAGAGACGAAACAGACACCAGGACAGTTAGTCTACAGTTAGCGGCTCTGTGAAGATGACTATGACACTTGCTAAATGCTAATGTCAGTATGCTAACATGCTCACAATGATAACGTTAAACGTAATGCTTTTCGCCAGATGATGGCACAAGAATAAAAGGTAAGGAAATACCAAAGTTGGACAACATGGTGATGTTATGGGAAAAGTTAGGGGACTATCGAAGTCTTAAGGGTTTGTCTTCTGGGGTCCATGAATGGCTGTACCACATTGTGTGTAACCAATCTCAAGTTTGTTAAGCTATTTCAATCAGGAGCAAATCTTTGAACCTACCATCAGCGGGACATGCCATCCCAGGAGCCAGCCTGCTAAAAAGCTATATTTAAAAAAGTTCTACAAGTTATAAATGCTTTTGAAAAGGGAGTTATACGCTTAGTTTGACAATTACTACAGATTGACTAATTTACATCGAGAGGGATTGTCATCTAAATTATCCTGGCTGAATATTTCTCTGGCCCAAAAATATGTCCCAAGCTCTTTAGGATGGGTACATAATAGAACCGGATGAATGTCTTGACAGGCAGTATAGTTTCTTCTCAGAAGCCTTTAAATTGGACATTGTTTCCGGACCTGTAGAGGCCACAGGCATCCTAAGCTCCCACTTTAATGGAGCAACATAATTAGAAGTTGTAAAGATAAGATGACCTTTGTGGTCAGAGGGATTTCAATGCCCTGAAGTAAATTCCCCCCACCAATCTGAGCTGATCTATCCGTCTGCATCACTGTTTCTAGCCCTCAGACAAACAAGCAGATTGTGGATTGTGGCCCGGTTAGTCATAATGTGCTTACACTTATTAATGGTTAACCATCGCTCCTCTCCTTTCTGGTTCACTCCCTGCTTCCAACTTACTGTAAATTATTTCCTAATTTCTAAACGTCCTCCCTTCAACCTTCTTTCTGTATAGACTTTCATAACTCATGCATGCCCGGCCCACATGGAAAACAAATATCACCCCCGATCACCCAAACACCGGGGCATGAACTGATTAATGAGGGAATTAAAATGAACAATGATCCATAGGGGGACATATTTTTCATGCGGTGCGACAGTGCTTATCAGTGGTTGGTAAAATATCTGTAGAGTAAACGCGAGGCATCTCCCTCCCTTCTGCCTCCTCCCTCCATCGCTCTGTTTCTCTGGCAAACTGTTGCCATCACTCATCACCAGCTTACATTCCCAGCATTCCCCTGAGGCACCTGGCTCATGAGAGAGAGAGAGGAAAAAGTGTCCAACACACACTCAAATGCACCTTCACAAACAGAGAGAAAGTGCACATCGCGCACACACACACACACACACACACACACACACACACACACACACACACACACCTCCATCACACACTTGGTCTTCACAATAACTGACAGGTCTTTTCACAGAGATGTAAATGAATATGGGGAGCTGGCTTACATTATTGTGTGTGTGTGTGTGTGTATGTGTGTGTGTGTGTGTGTGTGTGTGTGTGTGTGTGTGTGTGTGTGTGTGAGTGAGTGTGTGTGTGTGTGTGTGTGTGTGTGGTGTGTGTGTGTGTGTGGCCTAGCATTACTATACTTGTGGGGACCTAAATCTGTTTACAACAACGGTCACGTGTGGGGGACTCGCCTCCCTTATGGGGACACATTGGAGGTCCCCATAAGGGGAATCATTCATTTTAGGGTGAAGACTTGGTTAGGGTTAGGATAAGGTTAGGGTTAGGGTAAGGGTAAGGCATGTGTTGGTTATGGTTAAGCTTAGGATAAGTCTCCAGGAAATGCATGTAAGTCAATGTAATGTCCCCTGAAGTGATGTGTTGGGTGTGTGTGTGTGGTGTGTGTGTGTGTGTGGTGTGTGTGTGTGTGTGTGTGTGTGGTGTGGTGTGTGTGTGTGTGTGTGTGTGTGTGTGTGTGTTGATGTTGTGTGTAGGTGTGTGTGTGTGTGTGTGTGTGTGTGTGTGTGTGTGTGTGCGTGCTGGGCTAATGGCTCATTGAGAAAAGCACAGGCCAAGTCACACACACCAGATCTCTGCCCATCAGCCCATTGAGTCCTGTGGCTCATCAGGGGAGATAATTAGAATGAAGAGCTTTATCGATATAGCTACAAGCACACACTGTGAGGCAGCAGTGTGTTTGTGCAAATATGTGGGAGCATTGAGGGTAATGGTGTAGGATGTGACTCTGAGAGTGAGTGGAATATGTAATAAAATGATACTTTTTAAAAAAAAAACACATGTGTTTTATATGGAAAGCTGATAATTCTTAGGTGTGTGTGGTGTGTGTGTGTGTGTGTGTGTGTGTGTGTGTGTGTGTGTGTGTGTGTGTGTGTGTGTGTGTGTGTTGGTGTCTGTGTGTGTGTGTTGGTAGACAGAAAGAGA